AAAATAATTAATTAATGAGAATTAATTATTATTTAAATAATGTGATTATTTAAATTTGAATTTGAATCATGAACATAATTTAAATTTATCATTTTAAACTTATTTGATAAGTTGTTCAATTTAGAATTCAAATTAATTTAAGTTTGACTTAAATTCGAATTTGAATTTGAATTAAAATTGGACTACAGGATAAAGGATGATTTTTTCTCTTCCTTCCCTATTTGAGATTGGCGCCACACACAGTGTAAAAAACCCTAAGCATGGCCGGCCACACAAGGATAAGGTTGAGGAGAATTTTTGTTCAAAATTCAAACATGAGAGAGAGATTTGATTCATTCCAGAAGTTGGACTTCTACTCTATAAATAAGATATGATGAAAAATTGCGCGTGATAATTTTTTAACCTAACTTAGTGAGGGCTAGCCGAATTCCTATAATAGAGAGAGAAGGAAAAAAAAAATTTCTCCCAAAAAAAAAAATCCACATCGTGCATGCGTTGGTGTTTGTGGAAAATTCGAGTGTTTGATCAAACCCGTTTTTAGTCTCGAGTGTGCCCACACACACGTCTACGTAGATTCAAGGAATTGACGTGGAAGACTTTGGTTTTCTAAACACAAGGCTTTGGAGCAAGGATCGTTCGTGGTCAAAGAACTCAAGTTATCATCCGAGTCGGCCTCCAGGTATTTTTTCTAATTGAGTTCTTGATATATAAATTAATGTGATTAATTTATTCGTGCATAAATTAATATAATCTATAGAGTATCTTAAAAGTTTATGAAAATTTTTGTTATACTTGATCTGCCTCCCACTACGCTTCTGCATCCGAATTCGATTCGGTTAAAAACATTTATAACCGTGACGTAGAAAAGCAATGCATACCGTAATAAAAAATCCAAGTAAATTTCTAGTAATGTATTCTCTCTTTGTTTTTTTTTTTTTTTTTTTTTTGTGCGTAGAAAATAGTAATGTATTGCCTTGCTCCTTATATTTAACTAATAACTATATCCACTAATCCAGCCAAAAAAAAAAGCAAAAGAAAGAAAACGAAAAATAACTATTTAGTGTTATGACAGCAGGAGAGATACTCAAACTAAGCCCATTTTTGATTTGTTGGTTCAAATTTTATTGATTTGAATTTTTTATTTGATTAAAAAATTTAAACTGTGTACTTTAAATTGATGTTTGAATGTACAGTTAAAAATTTAATTTGAATATGGAATAATATTTGAATTTGTATTCGTGTTTAGTCTAATAATGGCTTTGATATATCTGTCATGTAGTTTTAGTATTTTCTTTGTAATAATTGTGGTGGTTCTCCTGTCATTTGAGTTCGTTTTTAGTTTATTAGATTCAGGTCTTGGCGAGTTAAAAGATCTACTAGTTATGAGTGTAGACGAAGATGTTGGGGGCCTTAGAGCTACACGTTATATGCACTCAATGGATCGAAAGCTCTATTGACTGCTGTGATTTTAAAAAGAGCCTTATGTGTGTCAACACCGACTCAATGTAAGCTGAGGCTTTAAGCAATAAGTTTTTAAGAGGCCTTTTAAATTGAAAAATTTAGTTAACCAAAATTTGAGCATTTATAACTTTTTTTTTTAGACCTTCTCTGGTAGGACAATAAAAAATATACATATACTTTTCTATTTTTAGCCGTCAAATACGTATAAGAAATTATATATTATGCATAATTTTTTAATTTAATGTGATTTTAACTCTAACAGTCAGAAATTAACATTACAGGTAGGACTAGCCTAATAAAGAATTTTTTTTGTTTTGTTTTTGGAGCAATAACATATCAAGTACCATGTTATATTGATTTGATAAAATATGTAAGAAGTTCATAAATTTAAAAGGACGCAATAAGGTAAATCCCAACATTTGAAAGAAGGTGAAACTTAAGAAATAAAAAGATGAAACGCATGATAAAAATAATAGACCTAACAGGGAGATAATTAAACTTAATAATAATATATAGCTGTGAAACTAAAAGCAATAAAAAATTTTCGTGAGCTAAATTTACTTTCTATAAATACGTATCGTACATATGATTTTTTTTTATTTTTTATATATAAATGGCACTCTCCTCTAAGATAGGTTGAGATAAAATAAAAAAATAAAAAAACCGATTGAAATTAATTGCAGAATAAGAAAGTACAAGTTGCATGTATAACATTAAGTAAGATGCAAAGCTAATTTCCCTAATGAGAGATGGGGACTTAGGCAATGGCCTAATTGGCTTTACCATTCAGCCGACACTGATATGTCGAGAAATTTTTTCAATATCAAGTCTCGTCTTAGTGTGTGTTTCATAATTAAACCGGTTTTTATTGAGTGTTTTATATTGTGTATTACATCATCATTCACATTATTATTATTAAGGTTTGTAAGACTTTTTTATTTAATGAAGTTCAATCTTCAAAAAAGAAAAAACACATAACTAAATTGATGGCTTGACATTTTAATTACAGTTTATATTAATCACTGCAAGTAGCCCCGCATGAAAATTAATTTTTATAACCTCAAAATAAAGAGTATTATATAAAATGAAAAAAATCCATATATTTTTATATAAGACGAAATTAAACCGCAACGTACCGCACCCAAACTTCAACCAAACACCAGTATAATTGAACCAAGAGGTCTTAAGCCAAAAATCTATCTTTTGTTTAGCTTTTATTACATTATTCGCATTATGACGTGTCCTGTTTTGGCGAATGGAGAAAGAATCTCCATTTCTGATTGGCGATTGCTCTTCTGGTTCAGAGTCAGCCACCATGGCCAAAAGTCCGGCCACAGAAATCGTCACTCTCTAAAACCTTAATTTTAATTTAATTTCTCCCATTTCTTCCTTTTAAATTATAAGTTTCTTCCCTCTCGATTGTCCGACAAAAGCTTCTTACAGAGATTCCAATGTCGTCCTCGTTTTCTGTTTCCATGTTACTCAGAACAGAGCTCTTCAACTCCGGAGCCAACTCCAACAGGCTCAGTATTGCCCCCTCAAGAACTTTTCATTACAGTAATTGCTTTCCTCTTTTCTTCACCTTTTATTTATTCTATTTTTTCCCCTGTTTGGTTCCTGAGATTTTTAAATTTTTTTTTACTTTTTATTTTTTTTTGTTTTTTTGTTTAGAAGGAAGCAAATGTGAAATGAGTAGAAGAGGTTTTGCTCTCAAAGGAATAGTGGCTTCTGGGGTTTCAGTCGTGGCTTCTTCCTTGGCAGCTCAGCCGGCTCAAGGTTAGTTTTCTAGACCTTATCATAAATAATTGCATAATACACCCTAAATTTATTTTTTCAATTTTGACAAATTACACATATCGTGTCATGAATTGTCAATTGATAACGCTCTAACTCTCAATTGCTACAGATTTTAAAGTTTGAGGTGTATTATGTAAAAAATAAAGTGTTTAGGATGTAACAATGTAATTTACTCAAAAAAGACATATATATATATATATATATATAGTACGATATTTGAACCGTCATATTTAACATCAAGTTAAATTATTACACTTTACTTGATGTTATATGATTCAGTTAAATTAAAAACCGCGTTCAATCAATATGGTATTTTTTATACTCTCATGAATTCTCTATAGTTGCATTAATTACGGACCACATTTATTATCAAACCTTAAAAAAACCTACTAACATAGTTCTGTATTGATTTTCATTAAATCATTATGATTTTCTTAGTGTGATATAATCCTGATATAAGTTGATGATAAAAAAACTGCGTTTAGAATACTCTATAGTTGTATTAGGAAAATGGATTTTTCTAGTTAAGCCCGAATTTTGTTGATGTAGGTGTTGAAAGATTGGTTTTCAAACCGGATGGCTATAATTTTTGGACATGGCGTGGTCACAAAATCCATTATGTTGTACAAGGAGAAGGCTCTCCGGTTGTTCTTATTCACGGTTTTGGTGCTTCTGCATTTCATTGGAGGTTTGTTTTTCTTATATGTATTTTATGTGGAATTGCTGGTTTAAAGTTCTTAGCTTTATTTGTTGGATACGAATATTCCATTCCTTTATTTGCTTGTGTTATAATCTTCAATAATGTTTCTGCCACACTTTCTAAATTCAAGATCACAAGTTCAACCCAACAACACAGTAAACCAATCACAAACAAGCATATTCAATAATAACACGAGATTTATAGTGGTTCATAGGCTTAATCCACTGAAAACCAAGAAAATGTTACAAGGAATTTGTTTTTCCTCACTTTCTCACACTCCAAACAGACATAATTCCTACCAGAAAACCTCTCATTAGAATATCTCGGAGCCCATTTTTTTTTCCCAGAGAGAAATACCACTCAATTCTCTCTGAATTCTAATACAAGTATTATACATTCAGAATTAAGACTAAAGTCAACTAACCCCTTGAACTCAAACGGTCAATTCCTTCCGAGAACATTCTTCTAACTGTCATTACCATCCTGTTCTTTTCAAACCAGACCATGTCTTTCCCGAACCATGTCGCGTATCTTCAAGCGAGCTATCGGATGATTATTAGTTGACCAAACATAACAATTAGAATGATAGGCAATATTCTTATATTTATGTTTTTATTATGCTCTTTGTCTCTTAACCCTCCTACCATATATTCCAATGTGCAGGTATAATATTCCAGAATTGGCCAAAAGGCACAAGGTTTATGCCATAGACTTGCTGGGATTTGGGTGGAGTGATAAAGCAATTATTGAGTATGATGCCATGGTCTGGAGAGATCAAGTGGTGGATTTCTTGAAGGAGATAGTGAAAGAACCAGCGGTTTTAGTTGGAAACAGGTAAACAGAGTCTTCTATTTAGTACTTTCTTAAGTTGCCACCGGTTCGTTTTGATCACCAAGGTAAAAATAAGAAAATGGTTTTGTCTAAGGCTCAAGAAATGAGCTTTGGGATAATAAAATTCTCATGAGAAATTTTATGTTCTATCTCATTTATATACCGTGAAAGATGGCCAAGTCACTAATGAAGAGTGTGCTATTGCTACTTCTTGTATTCTGATTTGCTGCTCTTAAGATATTGGTGGTTCAAAACTAGACATGATGTAATATTATTATAACTATATGACGGTCAAATTTTCAGCCTTGGAGGATTTACTGCTTTGGTTTCAGCAATTGGGTTGCCTGAGCAAGTTGTCGGAGTCGCATTGCTAAATTCTGCAGGACAATTTGGAGATCCAAACAACAAAACTAGCAAGCCTGACGAATCAACATTACAAAAAGTTCTCTTGAAGCCACTTGAGGAAGTTTTCCGGCGTTTAGTGCTTGGATTTCTGTTCTGGCAATCAAAGCAGCCAGCTCGAATAGAATCTGTCTTAAAAAGTGTAAGTCGCTCACTTGGCTTCTCTTTTGCATAAAGTGTGCTTGAGAATAGATTCCAAGTGAATAATTTAACATGCAGAAAAAAATTATCATTTTCTTCCCCATTCCACGTAAAAACTATAAACTATGGTTGATCTTTAGCCATAAATGAAAATACATGGTGCCAAGGAAAAGGATAAGAAAGCTTAAGAATATGATGCACTTCCTTGTGATACACAGGTGTATATAAACACTTCCAATGTGGATGACTATCTTGTGGAATCTATAACCATACCAGCAGCTGACCCCAATGCTGGAGAAGTTTATTACAGGTTTGTGTTGACGTTTTCCTCTTTGTGTATACATGTAACTTAACTTTCGTATTTACAAAACCATGTGTATATGTACATCTCGAACATCTAGACTTTTTCTATAAATGCTTCATCGTTTTCGATGTCCTTTTTCTGCACAGATTGATGAGCAGGTTCATGTTAAATCAGACCCAATACACTCTAGACAGTGTCTTGAGCAAGATGTCTTGCCCACTTTTGTTGCTGTGGGGTGATTTGGACCCATGGGTTGGCCCTGCCAAGGCTAAGAGGATCAAAGAGTTTTACCCGAATACGTCTCTGGTAAATTTCCAGGCCGGGCACTGCCCACACGATGAAGTCCCGGAGCTTGTTAACAAGGCTTTACTAGACTGGTTGTCAACTCTACCCACACAAGTCTCTCTCCAAACAGTTTGAACATTCCAAAAATTATGAAATTTAGCCGCAACAATCCTTACATTTTTCTAAGCATGTCTGTAAAAAATGGCCTCAAAAAAAGAAAAAAGAAAGATGATGTCAAAAAGCCCCCAGCGCGCAGTGGGGCGCCCAGAGGCCGGGAGGGGTAAAAAATTTAAATTTTTATTTATGTTTTGCATTCTAAAATTAATACATGATTTTTAGGAAATAATGCAACAAGTGGCACCATTTTTTTGATAAATATTCCATTTTTTATGATTTTCACTATTTTTTATCTTTGAAAAATAAAATAAAATAAAAATGACGTCAAAAATTTTGAAATTTTACAAACACGATCCTTATATTTTTCTGAGCATGCCTGCAAAAAATGACCTTAAAAATGAAAAAAAAAAATGATTTCAAAATGTCCCGGGCACGCGCAGTGGAGTGCCCAGAAGCTGAGAGGGGTTAAAAATTCACATTTTTATTTATATTTTACATTTTAAAATTAATACATGACTTTTAGGAATTAATGCAATAAGTGGCATCATTTTTTGATGAATATTCTATTTTTTTTTTCTAATTTTCTCTATTTTTTGTCTTTGAATAATAAAATAAAAACGATGTCAAAAAATTATGAAATTTTACGGACACAATCCTTACATTTTTCTGAGTATGCTTGCAAAAATGACCTTAAATAATGCAAAAAATGATGTCAAAAAGCTCCCGACGAGTGCAGTGGGGCACCCAGAGGCTGACAATTCAAAACATAAATAAAAATATAAATTTTTTATCCATCCTGGCCCTTGGGCGCCCCACTACGCGGGTCGGGGGTTTTTTGATAGCGTTTTATTTTTTTTTTTGTCATTTTTTACAGGCATGCCCAGAAAAATATAAGGATTGTGTCTGCAAAATTTCATAATTGTTTGACGTCATTTTTATTTTATTTTATTTTTCAAAGTCAAAAAATAAAGAAAATCATAAAAAATAGAATATTCATAAAAAAAAATGGTGCCGCTTGTTGCATTAATTTCTAAAAATTGTATATTAATTTTAGAATGCAAAACATAAATAAAAATGTAAATTTTTTACCCATCACAACCCATGGACGCCCCACTACGCGGGCCGGGGGCTTTTTGAAAGCGTTTTACTTTTGTTGGTCACTTTTTAAGGTTATTTTTTTAAAGGTATGCCCATAAAAATGTAAGGTTCGTGTCTGCAAAATTTTTATAATTTTTTAAGTCGTTTTTATTTTATTTTATTTTTAAAAATTAAAAATTAAAAAAATCATAAAAAGTAGAATATTGATAAAAAATGGTGCTGCTTGTTACATTAATTCATAAAAATCGTATATTAATTTTAGAATACAAAACATTAATAAAAATATAAATTTTTGACCTATTCCGGCCCCTGGGCGCCCCACAACGCGGGGCATGGCCTTTTGACAGTGTTTTACTTTTTTGTCATTTTTTGCGGCAATTTTTTGCAGGCATGCCCAGAAAAATGTAAGGATCGTGTCTACAAAGTTTCATAATTTTTTGACGTCATTTTTATTTTATTTTACTTTTCAAAGATGAAAAATAAGGAAAATCATAAAAAATAAAATAGTCATAAAAAAATTGTGTCGCTTGTTGCATTAATTTTTAAAAATTGTATATTAATTTTAGAATACAAAACATAAATTAAAATGCAAATTTTTTACGCATCCCGGCCCCTGAGCGCCCCACTACGCGAGCCCAAGATTTTTTTGACAGCGTTTTACTTTTTTTTTATCATTCTTTGATTCCATTTTTGACAGGCATGCCCAAAAAAAGGTAAGGATTGTGTCTGCAAAATTTCATAATTTTTTTAACGTCACTTTTATTTTATTTTATTTTTTAAAGATGAAAAGTAAAGAAAATCATAAAAAATAGAATATTCATACAAAAAGGGTGTCGCTTGTTGTATTAATTCTAAAAAAAATCATATATTAATTTTAGAATGCAAAACATAGATAAAAATGTAATTTTTTGACCTATCCCGGCCCATGGGCGCCTCACTACGCGGGCCGGGGGCCTTTTGACAGCGTTTTACCTTTTTTTTTGTCATTTTTGGAGGCCATTTTTGCACGTATGCCCTGAGAAATGTAAGGATCGTGTCTATAAAATTTCATAATTTTTTAACGTTGTTTTTATTTTATTGTATTTTTTAAAAATGAATATTTGAAAAATAAGGAAAAATCATAAAAAATAGAATATTCATCAAAAAATGGTGTCACTTGATGCATTAACTTCTAAAAATTATATATTAATTTTAGAATGCAAAATATAAACAAAAATATAAATTTTTGATCTATCCCGGCCCCGGGCACCCTACTATGCGGGCCGGGGGCTTTTTGATTGTGTTTTATTTTTTTTTTGTCATTTTTTGTGGCCATTTTTTGCAGGCATGCCCAGAAAAATGTAAGGATCGTGTCTACAAAATTTCATAATTTTTTGATGTAGTTTTTATTTTATTTTATTTTTCAAAGATTTAAAATAAAAAAATCATAAAAAATAGAATATTCGTAAAAAAATGGTGCCGCTTAGTTCCTTAATTCCTAAAAATCGTATATTAATTTTAGAATATAGATGAAAATGTAAATTTTTGACCCATCACGGCCCTGGGCGCTCATTACATGGGCCGGGGGCTTTTTGACAGTGTTTACTTTTTCTTGTCATTTTTTGATTCCATTTTTTACAGGCATGCACAGAAAAATGTAAGGATCGTTTCTGCAAAAGTTGATAGTTTTTTGACATAGTTTTTATTTTATTTTATTTTTTAAAGAAGAAAAATAAGGAAAATCATAAAAAATAGAATACTTATAACAAAATGGTGATGCTTGTTGTATTAATTCCTAAAAATCATGTATTAATTTTAGAATGCAAAACACAGATAAAAATGTAAATTTTTGACCCATCCCGGCCCCTCGGCGCCTCACTATGCGGGCCGGGGACTTTTTGACAACGTTTTATTTTTATTTTTTGTCATTTTTAGGCCATTTTTTGCTGGCATGCCCAAAAAATGTAAGGATCGTGTCTAAAAAATTTCATAACTTTTTGAAATCATTTTTATTCTTTTTTATTTTTCAAACATGAAAATAAGAAAAATCATAAAAAAATAGAATATTTATCAAAAAATAGTGTCGCTTGATGCATTAGTTCTTAAAAATCATATATAAATTTTAGAATGCAAAATGTGAACAAAATGTAAATTTTTTACCCATCCCAGCCTCTGGGCGCCTCACTACATGGGCCGGGGGCTTTTTGACGTCGTTTTATTTTTTTTTTGGTCCTTTTTTGAGGCAATTTCTTGCAGGCATGCCCCAAAAAATATAAGCATCGTGTCTACAAAATTTCATAATTTTTTGTCGTCGTTTTTATTTTAATTTATTTCTCAAAGATGAAAAATAAAGAAAATCATAAAAAATGGAATATTCATCAAAAAATGGTGCCGCTTGTTGCATTAATTCATAAAAAGCGTATATTAATTTTAGAATGCAAAATATAAATAAAAATATAAATTTTTGATCCATCTCGGCCCCTGGGTGCCCCACTACGCGGGCCGCGGGCTTTTTAACGGCGTTTTACATTTTTTTTGTCCTTTTTTGAGGCCATTTCTTGCAGGCATGCCCCGAAAAATGTAAGGACTGTGTCTACAAAATTTCATAATTTTTTAACGTCGTTTTTATTTTATTTATTTTTTAAAGATGAAAAATAAAGAAAATCATAAAAAATAGAATATTCATAAAAAAATGGTGCCGCTTGTTGCATTAATTCCTAAAAATTATATATTAATTTTATAATGCAAAATATAAATAAAAATGTAAATTTTTGTCCCATCCCAGCCCATGGGCGCCCCACTACATGGGCCAAGGATTTTTTGACAGCATTTTACTTTTTTTGTCATTTTTTGATACCATTTCTTGTAAGCATGCCGAGAAAAATGTAGGGATCGTATCTGCAAAATTTCATAATTTTTTGACATAGTTTTTATTTTATTTTATTTTTTAAAGACAAAAAATAAAAATATCATAAAAAATAGAATATTCATCAAAAAAATGGTGCCGCTAGTTGCATTAATTTCTAAATATCGTATATTATTTTTAGAATACAAATTACAAATAAAAATGTAAATTTTTGACACATCCTGGCCCCTGGGTGCCCCACTAGGTGGGCCGTGGGCTTTTTCACAACGTTTTACTTTTTTTGTCATTTTTAAGGCCATTTTTTTTTTGCAGGCATGCCCAGAAAAATGTAACGATTGTGTCTACAAAATTTTATAATTTTTTGACATCATTTTTATTTTATTTTTCAAAGACCAAAAATAAAGAATATCATAAAAAATAGAGTTGCCCCAGGGGTGGTCTCCAGGGGGTGTAATGACCAAGAAAATCCTAGAATTTAATAATGCAATTTATGTATTCAAGTCAAGAATTTTTCCTGGAAAAAAATAATATATTATGTTATATTTTGTGACCGAAGGATTTATGGAATTAACATTTGTATTCCTAAATTCTGTAGCAGATTTGATGCTAAGTTCATGTTTTACGATCAAGTAAATTCGATCGATAAATTCTCGCCGTACTTTAAGGCGAAAGAATTTCCAGTACATATACAGTTTGAGAATCTTAATTCTAAGAATCTCCAAGCACAATACGAACTAGCATCCAGTACATATATAGGAGAAAATTATAGCTAATATAATTTTTAACAGTTTCAAAGGAAAACTTAAAAGAGTGGACAAAAGTACAAGGCTAGGTTAATGTGTAGAATTGGATGAGGTGTGATGATGAAAGATGAAAAGTACTCATGATAATTTTTTTTTCCTCTCTTTCTTCACTTGGCCGGCCATGCTTAGGGGGTTTATAGCAAAAATTTTGGTTAGTTGAGTGTGCTAGAAAACTTCATGATGAGATGAATCAAATCAACTATTTGACAAGAAGGCTTAGTTCACTTCTCTCTTGAAGCATCCAAACCGGCCAAGCAAGGGGAAATTAACCAAAAAATTTACTAATTAAGCTAGCTTGATAGGCTTAATTAAGAGCTAAGAAGAGATCAAGCAAAAG